TCAGACTCTAAGTCCAGAATGAATGCATCACATAAAATCATCATGTGAAGTTGGAAGCAGGACCTGAGAAAGCCACATCCAAAAACTGCCATGATGTCAAGTCAGCTAACAAACCTGTAAAAAACTAAGCTGACATTTTGAAAGTCCCTTGTTATAAACATGCAAAGCCAATATAAGCTTTTTATAATAACTAATATAACTTAGTTTTGCCACTCAGTATAGGATAGGAGGTCTGCAAAAAGCTGCAGCAGCAAGATTTATTCATGTCTAATGAGCTAAACTGTTGTATAGATGGAACTTCAGGCTGAATCTTCCCATATGTTGCACACAAAACCAGGAATTAAGAAAATTCAGAAATAGTGAGGCTGTGCAGGAGATAATTCCTAATTTTTTTATCTTCACCAAAATATGAACTACAGAAAATACTATAGTCCCAACACATATGATTTGGAGGGTTCAGAAACAGATGAGTGATAAAAAAACACATCACCTGAAGTCAGATCCTTCAAGAACAGGAACCTCAGTAAGGATCTCAAACTACAACTGATACTGTTTTACAACTGATCTAGGAACTGAAACATATTTACATGTGCACTGGCTGGCTGTGCTGGATTTGGCTGGGATGGAGTTAATTTTCTTCACAACAGCTGGGAACAGTGCTGGTAGTAGAGAGATGTTTTGGAGTTGCTGAACAGGGCTTACACAAAGGCAAGGCCTTTGCTGCCTATCCCACCACCCCACCAGCAAGGAGGCTGGGGGTCAGAAGGAGCTGGGAGGAGACAGCCAGCACAGCTGATCCCACAAGGTCAAAGGGACATGTCACATCATAGGATGTCATCAGAGCAGTAAAATTAGGGGAATACAGGGGAAGGGGGGAGCATGTTCAGGGACAGCTGAGCATGGGTCAGGCCTGATTCTCTCCCTCATTCCACTGGAGAAGGGGTGTGTGTGAGTGGCTCTGTGGTGCTTTAGTTGCCAGCTGGGAAGCACCCTGGGGTCTATAGCACCTATATCCTCTGGAAGCAACACTTTGATTTGAGACAAATATGCTCTGATTTGTCTCCATATCCCTCTCTGGCTGTAGCACTGTAGAGTCTCTTCCCACCTAAATGTAAGCAATGCAAGAAGTTTACAAAGTCTGCAGGCTCTTACATGTTCACTCTAGCAGCCTCTGAGAGGTAGGGGATTTCTCACACTACATAAGTTATGGCTTCTCTCTCCCTCAGCCCTTTCCCTTCTTCACAGGTGGAATGGAGGGCTGAGCAGAAGAATGGGATGGGTAATAAGGAGGCATCAATTTTTCGGGAAACCTCTTTTACAACCCTAATTTTGCCCTCACTGCCATACTTACCTCAGGGAAAAAAAAAAAAAAGAAAAAGAAAAGGGAAAATCTCAGTTTTATGTAGAAATTGTGCTGACACACAGAAGCCTCCATCCTTCCAGGACATAAACAGCTCCATAAGTTGTGGTTTATCCTTATGTTCAAGCAAGACATGCATCAAGGGACATACAATTGTCCTGTTATGGAACCATCTTTAAAACATGCAGGCACTAAAGCCTTATTCTCTTGGTAAGACTGAGTTTCACCAGAACATATTTAATGCCCCTGTGCTTACTCACAAACCAAGCCAACTTTCTCTGCTAAGCAGAGAGATTTCTGAATTGAAATGCTTTTTCTGCAGGCTAAAGGTTGCAACAGATTAAATTCAGCACTAATTAATGCACCACTGAAATCAGAACCATACATTCCAGACACACCCTGAGCTTGTTCTTCCACTGTAGCAACAGAATTTCAATGGTGAATCGTTTTGCAATATCTACTGAAATCTACCTCGAATGCTGAGCACCGAAATAAAAACTACTTTAATCAAACTATCCAATAAAGACCTGAACCTAATTTGTCCTTACAGCTCCATCATGCTCTCTCTCTCTCTACTTTCCATATTTCTAGTGGGTTAGATCACAGATCACTAGATTTTGCTTGCTAGAAGAGATTTAAGTCTTTTCAGTATGCAATGTATTTTATATTGTCAAAGAAAAAAACTTCTAAAGAAAGGGTTTGTACAGGGTCTTTGCTAAGGTGAGGCCTTCTCAACCAGACTCTGTGGTTAAGGGGGAGTTACACATATTTTTCAGTTGCTTTTTCCCTCAATTTGAGCTCTTATTTAATGAGATTTGTATCTTCATAAGCAGTAAAATCTGTTGTAGTGTTGGGATTGAAAGCAATTGTGCGAAGAATGACAGCCACTGATAACACACATGGAATACACTTCAGTAAAGAGAGAAAAAGCTACCAATCAACTCTGATTTTGGTGCAGTAATTCAGTAACACAACACTGATACAATACTGTATCAGTAATAATGTAGAAACTTTTCTGTATTGTCTAATGGATCATTAAATATCCACATTAATCTCTGACCATGTGCCCGTTAAGGACTTAAAATCACTAAATTTTGTCATGTCCTATTTTCCTTGTTATACCCTCCTTCCCAGAATATGCACCTGTAGCTCTTAAAAAAACACCACAGAAATGTAGATTCCAGGCTCTGCTATTAAGTCAGCAGATTTGGATACTTTCCTTAAATCATTCAGCAACTTCCAAATATTCTGTCTTTGTTTAAAAGCAGTATGTGAGGTTGCATTCCATCTTTCAAGATTCAGCAGTATTTTTTGGAGAGTCCACCACGGATCTCAGAGTTCTGATTCACTGGTGGTGACATTGCTGTAGCTCGTGGGTTTTTTTTAAGATCTGATCCATACCTACAGAGATGACCAAAGCACTCAAGATTCAGCTGCTGAACAGCTATAAAGCAGCACTCTGCAGTAATTCACTCCATCTCCCTGCCTGCCTTAAAACACCACGGTGCAAAGCTGCTGCTGGTGGCAGCTAATGATGTTCACCTGCTTGTGGAAGCCCAGATTTACTTGCCTCAAATGCATAAAAAGCAATTCTCTACAGTCCTCAAATACTACGTGGCCTGAAGAAACAGATAATTGAGCCATGCTGCAGAAAATGATAGCATAGTTTACATTAATTTAGGCCATAATTATTAGTTTAAGCACACTTCAGTCAGTAGCATTTTAGTGAAAGGGACACTGAGCTGTATATAAACAAAACCAATGATAAGGAAAAAACTGCAAACTCAGTTATGCTAGGTTGGTTTGCAGGCTGGCAGAAGGCTGTTCATGCATGAGGAATTTAAGATTTCAGACTATGAGAGCCCCAAGTTCCCAGACACCTGCTTTCCCACTTGGGAACTGATCCATGTTTAGTTGTTGAAACTGGGAGAAGTGATTTTTTACTATTCCACCACTCTCACACAGACAGTCGAAGGAGGGAGAACATCTTCCTGGTGTGTGAAACCAAATCTGTTTACTGAACATGGTGGGCTGCAAGTGTGGTGGTAAACATGACAGCTCTGCACTCACAGAGCCACCAAACCTGCAGGTGAGAGGGTGAACTGGAGGAGCAGTTTTACCAGTACGGCAGTAACCATCACCCAGCCTGTTATCATGGATTAATTAGCACTCTTTGGAAAACCCCAGAAGGAATTAATGATGAAAGAATGCAGACAACGCAAGAACCACAGCAAGCCAGAAGTAAATACAGTTCACCTTCACAGGGGACTTCACCTGAATATATGACAAAATATACTACAAAAGCCCTGTAGCCCTCAGAACATTCAACTGTTCAGGCAAGTTCCAGTTCTGTGTCATTTACACTGGATATAAGAACATCTGAACACTGAGTGCACAAAGACATGGCTGTACCTTTTGAGGAGCATCTAATCTCCAGCTGCACAGCTATGCACTTCACTGTTAAACAGAAAGACAGATCCTATGTGCTCTTTTAAATCTACTTCCAACTAAAAAAAAAACAAAAATAACTTCAACAGAAGGTGGAGCTTACTAGACCATAACCACCCTACAGGTTCAACAAGAGCCTTAAAGGAGAAATTGCTTGAATAATTAATGCAAATCCTCTCTGTGAAAGTTTTGTGTCTGCAACTGATCTATATTTGTCCAGAGAAGGGCAACAAAGCTGGTGAAGAGTCTGCAGCACACGTCCTGTAAAGAGTGGCTGGTTGGGGGTGTTTAGTCTGGAGAAAAGTAGGCTCAGGGGGAGCCTACAAATACCTGAAAGGAAATTGTAGCCAGGTGGGGTCGGTCTCTTCTCCCAAGTAACAGAACAAGAGCACACAGTGTGCCAGGGGAGGTTCAGGTATGCCATTGGGGATTAGACATTGGAATGAGCTGCCCAGGGAGGTGGTGGAGTCGCCGTCCCTGGAGGTGTTTAAGGGAAGACTGCATGTGGCACTGAGTGCCATAGTCTAACTGACAAGGTGGTGTTCAGTCAAAGGTTGGACTCCTTGACCTTTTTTCCAACCTAATTGATTCTGTGATATTTCACAATTCACCTCAACACACAAGTCACATATGAAAAGTGGAGGTTGTCAGCCTCCATCCCAAAAACAACACCAGTGACACCCACGCTTTGCGCGCTTCAATGTTGTTTCAAAGTAACGCCATCACCCGCCGTAAGAGCACTTGGGCAACGCGAGATCCTTCCTGTCTCTTAGGGCTTAAGTGACGGCGCGTAGGTTCCCTCCCAGCCTCGGGAGAAAGTCCTGCGGGCTCTCTGGGCGGCGGACGGGAGCACTCCGGCGTCCCCAGATCCCCTCCAGCCGGCGTGGGGCCCGCCTGGCCGCGGGGGCCCAGCGCCAGCTCCGGGGGGCCGCTCCGGCGGGAGCCCCGCGGGGAGGCCCCAGGGCCGGCACCGCCTTTCCCCCGGATCATCGCCCCCGCCCCCCGACCGGGCACTCACCGCCAAGGAAGGTGCCAAGGACCAGGCATTTCTTCTTGTGCCGCTTAAGGAAACTCCAGAGCGACCGGAGCATCCTGCGAGCCTGGCCCGCCCCGGGTCCCCGCGGCGGCGGAAGGGGGCGGAGGCGGCCGCGGCACCGCCCGCGGTGCCCCGGAAGCAGCGCCCGGGCCCGGGATGGCGGAGGCGGGGGAGGCGGCCGTGCTGGCCTGGATGGACCAGGCGCTCGACGTGGTCAGTGCGGGTCGGGGCTCCCGCTGTGCCGCGGGGAAACCTCGGGGCGCCCCGGGCCCCTCACGGCAGCGGGGAAGGACGGGGCGGGGGATGGGGCCGGCGGAAGCTCCTCCCGCTGCTGTAACGCTGTCCTGTGCCTCTCGCCAGTCTGTCTGTGTGTCTGTCCGTCCCACAGGCTAAGGAGGCGCTGGAGAAAGGGGAGGTTCCCGTGGGCTGCCTGCTGGTCTACAACGGCGAGGTCATAGGCAGGGGCAGGAACGAAGTCAACGAGACGAAGAACGTGAGTCCCGTGGGCCGGGAACATCGTGGCTATGCCGCCCTGCCCTGCGCTCGGCCCGCGTCTGGGTCTCAAACGTGCTCTCCTAAAGTCACCCGGGGGTTAGGAGTGAGAAATGACTGTGCAGCCTCCCCTGATGAAGTTCTGTCCACAGGCCAGAACAAAAAACTATTTTCTGTATATTTTAGACCTGTTGCAACTTTAACCATCAAATCAACTATAAGATCTGGCGCTGAGAGACCCATTAGTGCCAACAGAGATTTTGTACAACTGGAAGTTGTGTATAAATTAATCTGACTGCAGGATCTGGCTGTAATTCATATCAGACGTCTCAAATCTGAAAACATAATAAAAAGTTAAAATTGGTCTTCTAAGCTGAAAAATGTAACAGTAAAGATGAATTATTATAGTAATTTGTTCTGCAGGACAATCTGTAATGTATTAAGAGGATTCTAATACAGCTTTAAGAAAGCCAGGTGACAGAGAAGTTAAGTGTCTCATGTTACACCATTGTAAGCACTGTGGGGAAGCAGACACTTGGGAAAATCATGCCAGAGATAGTAATATTGTGTAGAAATCACATGTTAATAAACAGACAGAACATAACTTGCAAGACTGATAACAAAATCAAAATCAACTTAAGAATGTCAGGGAAGCTTTCAGGCATTTTTTGTGTCAGGACTGTCTGAAGGTACATACTAAAATGCAAGGAGCCTGATTTAAAAACAATCATCTGGATTTTGGAAACAGTAATCTGTTAATATCTCTGAAAGCCAAGCTTTTTTCGAATTGCTGCTCAGCTCAAATTTCACTTCTTTTGTGGCTCAATTTTCATGAATGTTTATATTATAGTGATTGGAAATGCTGGGTACTTAGTGCTTTTAAATTTTTTATCAGATACGTAATTGCTCCATGTAGTCTGAAAAAAATCTAAGCTTGAAAGCAGTACTTGTTATGAAATGTGAACAAAGGAAATTGTTCTCAGTTTTCTCCTAACGATTTCTGGCATTATTTAGGGACCATCCTGGAGAAAAAAACCAATCCTCTTGAACCATTGAGGCAGTTCCAGCAGACATCATAAATGTCAAAGTCTGTTTTAAAACTAATTTATTGTCTTACCTTATATTGAAGGACCTCTCCAGAACATCATTCCTCAGATGGCTAAAAAATGTCTGATTTCCAGTTTCAAACTTTTAATGTTCTGTTTATATCTCCCTGTTCTTGTGCCAGCACCATCCATTACTTTACATAGCTTGGATGTATTTAAAGTCTTATTCCTTTTCAGCTTTTGTTTTTCTCAAGCCAGCTGTTTAATTTCCTCTCAGAAGACAGGCTGGCTTTCTGTGTTCATTAGAATAATTCTTTTACATAGCCATTCCAGCTTTGATTCATTTCTTCTTGAATTCACTTAACCAGAACTCTTAAGAACACTTAACTGGAATTTTATTCCAGATGGACTTGTGCTTTGTTTGATAACAATAGTACTTCACATTCTCCCTGGAAGAAAGTCCACCAATGTTTTCTGGAGCTTCCTTGGTCTTTTATGCTGTTTTGTTATTCTTCATTTGTTATTTTTTTTAATTTTATTTTTTTGTAATTTTCTTTACTCCTGTCTTGAAGGCCATCCACCTCCTGAATGACACTCTCACCCTGTCACTTCTCGTGATGTCTTTCATCATACAAAAGACATCACATCATCAGCTGCTTTCTGTAGGGGTTTTTCCAGTTAATGTCAGTGACACAACTGAAAACATTTAAGCCAAATGATCTTTGAGTGTCTGTGGTAATGAGTTCCCCCTGGACAAATATTTCCCCTGTCAGTGCAATGTCTCTTCTTTTCTTGCTCACCTTACATTCCTTGCATTAGGCTGTTTTCCCCACTCACAGTAATTTCACAGGTTGTGCTGTGCCAGATGCACTGGAGATGTCCAGAGAGACTGATGTTTCTCTTGCCTAGAAAAAACATTTGTCAAAGAAAGTTACTAAGTTAATTTAGTCTCAGCTATCTTCTTGTTTAATTTACCTTTTATAAGGACTAGCCCTTATGACACTACTTTTAAAGGTTTGGTATCTTGCCTGCTTTACTATTGAGACCCTCCTGGATAGGTGTCATACAATCCTGACACCTATCCTTCCTGGTGTTTATTACTGTGACTCTGTTTGCTCTGAAGGTTTCACTCATGTAACACTCTGCCTTGATGCATTAAAGTGTTGCCGTGAGACTGGCAGTTTTCTGGCTCCCAAAAATGCAGCTTTATAACATACTGACTTTTTGAACTCCATGAAAACTTGGTTCCTGCTTTGAAGAAGTGATCATTTATCCAACTAGATCTTCAGTCCTTCCCTGCAATTCTGCCTTTGGTCAGGAATCAGCTTGCCTCTGAGCCTTTTGTCAAATAAATTCTGTCTTCTCCTTAAGCAGGTCCCTGTGTCCTGTGATGTAATGGGCTGAAGTTAGGAGCAGGTAGTGTCTTCTTTATGCCCTCTTTCAGTATGTTCCTAAACTGCTCATTTTGGCAAAAAGATTTAGTTGCCAAAAACTTGCTATCTCTTGTCACCCTGCATCTTTATTTTTTTTTTTTTTTGCCTGCCATGTCCACAGCAGAACACATTCATGTCAGAAATACTGCTGCTTACTCTGTGGAAGTTATTTGCAAAATTTCTGATCATTACATTCTTCTGGGAGAAGTTGCTTTTGGGAGGAGGGAGTTTGTATGCAGCCGTGTTTGGTTTATTTTATTTTTTAGGAGCATGGCTGTGGCATCAGCATTTCAAAATAGACATGACACTACTTGTCTTCCTTGGGCAACAGTGCAGCAAATGTCTGTGTAAGACATTGGGTCTAGACAGCTTGGTGATTCGTTCACAAGCATGTGCCAGTGCTGTGTTCCCTCTGGCAGCTCCCACACTTGCTTGCTTGTTCGCAGTCTTGCCTCAGACCAACCTGAAAATTTTCTCCCTCACAGCATATGTGACCCTGCCCATCAAGAAATGTGTTTTTGGCATCTTTATTCCAACATGTGATCAAATCATTCACTTCCCAGTAAAATGCTCTCTGTCCTAGGTCCTTTGTTGATACACACAGACATCTCCTCTTTGTTCTGTTCTCTTGGGTCATTTTAGCAAGTGTCCTGCAGGCACAGTAGGGGATAATTGAAAATGAAGTATTGTTTGTGTAATGAAGCCACAAAATGACACAGAAATTTGAGCTTTGGACCCCTTTACTCTTTCTTGTTAATTATGGTCTAAAATTTAGAAAGCAAACTTTTTAGATATCTTTATTGTCTGTGAAACATTTGCCACAGTTTGGGGCACTGTCAAGGCTTTTACCCCACTGAGTCAGCTTTTTTTCCTTTGGTACACCATTTGCCACTCTGTAACAATTCTCATTTTCCCTTGTTACTCTTAACCTGCTTTTGCTTTCTTGGTTTTAAAATAGTGTGTAATATTTGGCAAGTTAAGCTTATGAATTGAGTCAGTGATTCAAAATTAAAATAATCCCTCTTGTATGTTGCTTTATACACAGCAAATCAAAAAAAGGCTATCTTAATACAAAATAAAATCTTAAGACAGACCTGGAAGGTCAGTCTTTCCCTTTTATCTTGTCTTTAAGATGAACCTTTAATAGGTTGTGTAAGGAGGGAGCTCAAGAAACAAGTGTAAACCTTCTCCTTGCACATCCTTTCCACTTCTGGAAGTGAATAGCTTGGGGACTTCCAGAGTCCAAGGCCTATATCTGGATCATTGTTTCTGATAACTATCCTCCATGCACATATCCTCCATGAATTTGTCTAAACCTTTTTTGAGCTCATTTATGTTTTTGGCTCCCATAGCATCCTGTGGCAATGAGTTTCACAATATAATTTGTGAAAGAGTACTTCCTTTTGTTTATTTTATATCTGCTGCCTGATAATTTCATTGGATACTCACTTGTTATGAGAAATAATAAATCACAGTTATAACTGTGATTTTTCCACATTTTTCTTGATTATTTTAGAAACCTCTACTGTAGTCCTCTTAACTTGGAAAACTATTGGCTGTATCTGTTAAGAGCCACAGTCTAATTAGTCTCTAAATGGAAACTGTTCTGTAACTTGGATAATCCTTTCTCACCCTGAGGTGAGACTTTGTCCTGATGTTCCTGTGTCTTCAAGACATGACATGACCAAAACAGTGTGTTTTACTTAAGATATGGGCACACTGGTGTGTAGTAGTGTTCTATATTAGTGTAATCTCATTTGTGTAGCTGTCTTCTATTACTGCAGAAGCTGGTAGGACTTGCAGCAGCTGCATGGCCTTTCTAGGAGTTTTAAAATATTTTTGAACAGTATTAAACATAGCAGTGTTTAAAGTTATGAGTCCTTTGCCATGTATTGCAGAGCATCCCAGTGTTATCACCACAGATCTTCACAGTGCTAAAACATTAACCCAAGTTCATGTTTTGAGAGGAAGCTATCAAAGGTCATGTAAGGACATACAAAACAGAAGTACAAATACAATCTGGATTGATTAAGTCTTACTCTAATGCTTGTGTCAAAAACATCTTGTTTTTCAGAATAGATAGAAAAGGAAAGAAAATACTAACAGTCTTAATTCAAATAAGCATCAGGCTCTAACTGAAGAGTCCTTTCAAAACTAGTACTTCCTGAAATTTTTGCTGTCACATTTCATTGGTGTAACACAATGCTGCAGACATTTCAGAGAGCTACTGGGACATTACTGATTATTTTGGTCTCTCTGCTAATAAAGTCAACACTTCCATTCAGGTTTTTGTGCCATAGATACTGAGATACTAATCATTCAGTTATCTTGGATAAAAAAAGAGAAATTATTATTCCTTTGTCTTTTTGTAATCAGTCATATGCTGAAATCCCTGCCTATTACTTGAGGGACTTACTGGACATGTATCCCCAGGCAGCATTAAACCTGAGGCAAACTGTTCATAGTGTATTCGTTCCTTGTGAGCACAGGAATATTGTCAGAGGGAGGAAAAGGTACCAGCAAGGAGCATTTTGTTAATATTTCCAGAGAAAGTAATCCAGCCTGTATTCTTGCTTTTGGAAGTAGAGCAGGCTATGGGCTGTGTCAGTTGTGCCAGTGAGCTTTGTGTGTCCCTGAAGCATCAAGCAGAGCTTTCATGTCTTGCCTCACTGTGCTGGCATGGCTGAGAGGGGAGAACTTCTGAGCATGCTCCTCTGCCTTGGGAAAAGTAGAAGAAAAAACTGTCACTTGTAGATCTTGTGTGCTACACACAGGAGATTGGAGTTGAATATTTTCTTTCTTGGACTGAGTATTTCTTCTGCAGTTTGGGTGCTATAAAATGTCTTTTGCAACTTGAACCAGCAAAGAGCATTACATTACTTCTCTAACAAAAGTGAATAAATGCAAACTTTAAAGAAAATACTTATTTTTATCTTCTAGGCTACTCGACATGCAGAAATGGTGGCAATCGACCAGGTCCTTGAGTGGTGCAAGCAGCACAAGAGGGATTATCGGGAGGTGTTCCCGCAGCTGGTGCTGTACGTAACTGTGGAGCCCTGTATCATGTGTGCAGCTGCTCTGCGCTTGATGAGTATCCTTTCCTGCTGACTCACTCTGGGAAACTGTCTCAAACCATTACTCCTTCCATGGTGGGCCCACAAAGAAAGGCTGGACAGTGTCAGGGAAAGGCATGAGGGGTGGTTTGAGGGTCTGAACCCACCTCCATGATGAACGGCGAGGGACTCAGGAATGACAGAGATACGGTGCAGTTATGACAAACAACTGTTAAGAGATTAAAAATACATTTTAGAGATGTTTGTTAGGATGTAAAATGAGTCAAATGCAGTTCAGTGTTCAGCTTTGAATGTTGTATCAATCAGTAAACCATGTCTTTGTATGACCCTGCTTTGGAGATTCATGTTTCCCCTTTTCTGAGAAAGGCTGGATGTGCATCTTCAGCAGTACATCTTACATCATTCAAAAGTAAGTTCTGATTTTATGAGGGAGGAATTGTAGCTCAAGCTCATTTAGTTTGAAGAGTACTAGCACATTTTAGGAAATTTGATGACTGCCTAGATCAGGCTTCTGTACTTCCTGCTTGTTTTTCACTTAATACCTTGACTCACTCCCATAAATTCCACGGGTTGTGTACGGCTGTCGAAATGAGCGATTTGGCGGCTGTGGCTCCGTTTTGAGCATCTCATCTGATGATATGGTGGACTCAGGAGACCCATTTGAAGTAGGCTGTAAAATGTTTCCCTTTGTTTTCCAGCTAGGGTACTGTGCCTGGCTTTGCTACCAGGCTTTTAGAATCTTATGCATCACTTCAAGAGGACACAGATGGAAGATGATCAAAGTCAAGTAAAGTTGGCCTAATCAGAAAATAATGTAAAAAAAAAATAGGTCCTAAAAGAAAACTGAGGAAACCCTGATGACAGTCTTAAATTATTTAAAAGGATGTGTCAAAGGGTAAAGGAAAGAATTATGCTTGTGGGACAAGGTAAGAATTAAATATATCTAAAATACGTGTAATACTTAGAACAGTAAATATATGCTACAGGAAGAGATGGGGGGAAATTATTTTAAGCTGCACAATGTACAAACACATAATCAATAAATATCAAGTAACAGCAACTTATAAAATTGCTGGGTTTTAGCTGAGCCACTGGAAATGATTGTATTTGTTTTCAGTCTGTGTGTTTATGAGGTAAAATGTATTAGCTTAGACTTACTTCATGTAGTTCAAATCCCAAAATAAATCTGAACTGCAACAGTAGCAGAGGAAATTCAGTTTAGCTAGCAAGAAACTTTCTGAATAGTAGGGATACTGAAAGACTGAACAGTGTCTGAGATGATTTAGGCATCTTTGTCATGTGAGAAAGGCTGGACAAGCATTCAGTGGAGGCAGAGTTTAAATAAATCTAGGTGCTTTACAGCATGATACTACCTATGTACCCATACATAGATGTAGAGATTATTTATAGCATTTTATTTATTACATTATTCACAGTTGTACATGATTTTGCGTTAGACAGTGATACTGATTCCTGGAGTTCTTTTCCATGTTTCACATTAATGATTTTAATGAATGTAAAAAACAAGTAGCATATTTCAGCATTGCAAATAAGCACTAAAGGCTCAAGGCTCAAAGAATTTCAGTCAGGAAAACAATACTGTTTGGCACTCCAGTGTAAACATATTAGGCAGCTTTCTGTCAGTGTGTCAGTGAGACTAACATCTGAATTGATTGGTGTAGTTGGGACTGGAAGAGTGTTCATTTGCTAACATTGGCATGTGGTATTTCATTTTTTTATACATTCAGAAGACAGAAAGGAGAAGGTTCTCGATACTATGAATCTTTTGTTTCTGTAGGCAACTGCAGTGGAATGTATAGGAGTAAATACTTCTTTCCTAGCATGGATGGAGATTTATCTAGTGTGAGTGACATTTAAATGCTTTGTCATTAGTGTTCATGGCATAGAAAAGTATTTTAGAAGGACCAAAAAGATCTGAAAGGTGACTGTTAGGAATAAAGAATAGATACGTAGATGAGTGTTTTCTGTCAGGAATCTTATCTGCAAATACCTAGGTGTATTTTTCTTATGTTTCCAAGTGCTTGAGGAGTATGGGAGGTTGGAAACACATTAATAAGAAAGAAATTGTAGATTTCATAAAAAAACTTACAGAATTTACTAAGAAAGTTTGTTTTATCTAATATAGAAATTACTTATTCTATTAAGCCCCAACGTAGTGTTTTTAAAGTGTATTAAGTATTAAACCTAAAAAGGAGATTTTTTTTTGACCCCTAAGTTGACAGTACAGTTGTTTAAAATTATTCTGTACTCAAGGTATTATTGTGAAGCATGGAATACGTTATTCTCAGATGTGCTCACTAACATCATTCTAATTTGAGCAGTGCTCTTCTGGCTATCGTGCTGAAGAAGCAGTGGAATTGTTAAAAGCTTTTTACAGACAAGAAAATCCCAATGGTAGGTTTTACATTAATGCATCCATTTTGATCCCAACCTAATTTAAAAGAATGTTGGCACTGAAATTACTGTAATTCACTTCTGATGATTCTTCTCCTTTCCTGTTTCTTGGCAGCACCAAAATCCAAAGTACGGAAAAAGGATCGTCGTCAGTAGCCCTACACTTACCAAAAAATAATATGTGAAGGTTTCTTCAGCATGCTGCTTTTTGAAAATGTGCAGTTCAATCAAACTATGTTTCATTTTCTCTTCAGAGTTTTTACTAATAGGATACTTAGTACCTGTTCCTACGTTTTTATATTTATGGTTTCTTGTTACCATGACAAATCAAGAGTAAATGGCTGTTTTTAGAAAGAGGAAAATTGGTGGTTCAAGTCCACTTGTTTACAGACAGATCCATTAAAATGGTGCTTCTGTACAGTACATTCTAGAATATTTTTTTCCTTCTGTGTGTGGAGAAGCATCTTGCTTTTCAATAGCAAATGTTTGCTTAGGCAAGCAAGCAACTCTCTTAGAAGGTTACATTTGTAAGTCCTTTACAGTCTGTGTGTGTATGTTCATTCAAAAGGCATATAAAGGAATTGGACAGTCCTTGAAGACTTAAGACCATTGCAAATGTTTCCTCATTTTTTTCTACCTTAGCACAAGCCAGATTTTCAGAGGTAATTTCTGAAAGTCACATACCTGTGTAGACAGGGACATACAGACAATTACATGTCCGTTTCTGTCTGCTGTTGCTTAGTAAGGATAAGCAAATATCACTTGGCTGCACAACTCCTTCATACAGAGTTGTGGAGAAACTCCACAACTCTCTTTAGGCTGTCCACTCCTCTTGTGAATATCAGTATAAGAAATACTTCATTTTTAAGAATCCACTAAGAAGTTGTTCTGAGCTCCTAAATTATATACTAAATATATATATTTGATATATATATATTAGTGTATATATTTGATATATATATATATTAGTGTATATATTTTATATATATATATATATATAATTATATACTAAATTATAGTAATGAAAATGGGCAAATACAAGGGAAAACCCAGAAATGAAGCTGGTAATAACATGAATAAAATGTATTTAAGACACTTTTCATAGTGTTGGTTGGCTTTGTCATTTCCGTGTACTTTGCCTGGCCATGCAGTAATTTATAATCCAGAAGAGGGCCTTCAAGTTCCACTAATGAATTAAGAATACAAGTACGGTTCAGTCTTGATTGTATACCTCTTAGTGGATACTTACATGAAGGATGAAATTGTTGGTAGTTTATTTGGCTGTTACTCAGAAATTTGAGAAATGCTGTAGCTTTTTTTATTTTATGCAGAAGAGTGTTCGAAATTTTATAACTATAAAAACTAAATACTTTTTCAGTATTTCAAATAAATGCTTTCAAAAGTGTTTCTAAGAAGAATATTAAAAGCATTACTTTGTCACCATTGTTCTTAATAACTTGTATTTTATGTTTTTACTTAATGTTTACAAAATGACATGGGAAAGAAGCGTTTTTACCATAATAGCTATTTTCAGAGTTTAGAAATAATATTTCTTTTCCTTAAGCCCTGTAACTGTGATGTCAGTAGCCTATCCTATTCTCCTGACCATTACTTAGAGCTCTCTTTGAGTCTTTCCCATTCCATAAACAAAAGTTATGACTGTGTTTGTAGATTTAATCTGCCTCAGAGCTCGAAGGGCTTGTGAACCAGACAGCTAAGCTGGAAAAGCTATTTAGGAAAAGACCATTTTTAATGACTGGGATGGCTTTATTAGAAAGAAACAGGCATGCCTGTGATGATGGCATTTGGCTGGTGATAAAAGATGGCAATTTATCACTATAGATATATTCACATCTCAGCTGGACCATGATTTTCTTATACCTTGAAGAAATCACTGAAGTCCAAATTAAAGACATCAGACATCTGGCTCGTCACTGACATCAGTGACAGTAGGAATCAGAGCCTTCATACTGTTTTAAACCAGGACCTAAATCTCTCAACATCGTTTCTTTTTCAGAGGGGCTGTGAACACTCTCCTTTCCCATTGCTTTCTTTCACAGAAGGATGTTGTTATTGGAACATGTGGGACAGTAGGAGCCATGTAAATAAGTAGAAAAATTACTGGTAGTAGGACAAAACACATTTTAAAAGCTTTGTCCAATTTTTCAACCCTTAAGTTGGAACAGAACTTTTTTGTCAGTGGTAACCTGTCACTTAATAAACAGTTCAAGTCTTGTGCAAAGCCAAAAGAGGCTGAAGAGGATGAGAAAAATAAAGATTGCTTTTGAGAGCGATCAAGGCTAATAATGTCCATTAATAATGTCCATCCTGGAACAGAAACATGGAAGAAAAATAGTGTAGCACAATAAAAACTGTCATTTTTCAGAAAGGTTTTAAAAGATAATTCTGTTTAATGTAATGTGTAATCAAAAGAAAAATGGTCTAGTATTGAGGTAAATTTGGATGGGGGGAGGGATTTGTTTTCACTCTTTTTGTTGGTTGGTTGATTGGGTTTGAGTTTTTTTTAGCATAATAATTAGCTTGAGGAACAAACTGCTGAAAGATTACACTGGAAGCAAAAATGGAACCTATTCACCTGAAAATCCTGCTACTTAGCTAAGTAAGAACAAATGCAGATACGCAGGTATTTTTATAAAATAAACAAACCAGCTCCTGCGTGACACAAGCCCCTCCTCAGAGCCATGCAGCTGGCTCCTCCTTGCTGCCCAGGCAGTGCTCTCCTCCCTCCCTGCAAAGGGCCCTGCCACCACACTGCAGGAGCCCAGCAGGCTGGTCCTGTGCCACTGCCCTCAGAGGTGCCTCAAGCACCTGTCCCAGCCTGCTGTACCACTGCTCTTCCTAACCACTTTTGAGTTTATCAGCATGTTTTAGAGTCAGATTTGCAAACTTGAGAGATCCACAAGAAATTACAGAGATCCTGGGTAGAAGGTTCTAAGTTCAGGCTCAGAGAAACCTCTCTGTGACTAAGCTCAATGCAGGGGCTGGAAAAAAGGCAAGAGGAAGCCATGGCAATTATAACCTGATGAGCTGACTGGTTTCAGTACTCTGCATCAGAAAGTGAACATAACAAGAGAATAAGAGAATACAGAAAGAATGCTAGGAAAAGCACTCTTGGAGGCTTATTCAATGAGAAGATGCTTGCTTATGGCTGCAGAGGCATAGGCTGGGTTTGGAACTGCTGCTACCAGGTGAAATCCTGCAGGAAACTGGGTTGCACATGCTGGAAGAAGTATTGCTGTCTGTTTGCTGGGAACCTGGTGTCAGCTTTGGCTCTAGCTTTAGAGGAGTGTTGAGAGCAACAACTTTAATTGTTACTGACACCTGGAAAACTCAAGAACAGCAGCATATAAATGGTGCTATTCATTTTCACAGTGCTTTTATTTATTTTTATCTATTTGTTTCTAGGTTGCCACATAGCAGGATTCAACAGCAGCAGTAAATATATTCAGCTGGTTTATTTAAAGAAGTTTAAATGCTTCACCATTTTCCCCTTGCTGCTTGATAAATAAGCATTTGTGCTTCAGGGTTCCATTTACCTTGGACTGCATTTTTGCCAGTTCATTACAGGTAAACATGATTTTATTTCAGCCTTTGGTTTGCTTGTCAATAGTCTGACATCAAAATATATTGAACCAGCTAGGAGGGCAGGAAGCAAAACAATACAGTTTTGTCTCTGCTAAACCGATTACAATTGACAATCCAAGGCTATAATAAATATGTCTTGTGACTTGCACACTAGAGGAGAGCCTGAATTTAAATTATAGCTTTGGGTTTTGAAATGCTCACTGATCCATTCCATTCCCATTAAGAGTGCCTTCCGCTCTGCAAAATTAAGTGATATCTTTACATGACAGTTTAATTTAATTAATTTGTTTTCTGATATGTACATTTATGGAGTTTCTCCATTAGGCTTTTGAAATGTCTGTAGGTCCTATGCATTAATGTAAATGCGCCATGGCCCATAATTACCTTTGGCAGGCTTAGGGCACTGATAAAAAGATTATATTTTTAAAAACTAAAGTCTTCAAACTTCCTCAGTGCTTGGCAGGAAATCTGTTTCTGTGTTTTATTTGGAGCAAGGCTGTGGAGCCTGCAGCCAACAACTCCAGTGTGGGCAGTAACTGTTACATTTTAGAAGAAAATACTTTTGAGGCTAAATGAGAGAAAGGGAGAGGACGACAATTAGTGCAAGAGTACTAGAAGCAGCTGTTTGTGTGTTTTGCCTTGTGGCTGCCAATATATACTCTTATCATTAAGTGCATCTAGAAACAAGGTATTTTCTATGAAATTACTTCACAAAACATGGATCTTTGTCTTTTTAAGAGGCTGCTCCAAAGTGAGTTTATCTTCCTTTTTCACAATAGCTCTGCACTAGCCAAGAATACTGGATTCTCCCTTTGCCTCCTCCTCCCTCCTTTCTAAAAATGAACTTTTCAGGAAAATAAGGAATTCAGAGAAGCTTGAAGGAGAGCAGATGGCCAACAGTGATCCAATAGGATGTAAAACTTCAGTTAGGTAGTTGCTTGGCAGGCAAGTGCAAGTGAGCCTGTGATGTTTCCATAGTGATGTTTTCACATGGTGCCTTCCTTTTGTCTTTTAAAAATCTAAGTGGTTTAAAAAAAGAAACAGGGGGTGTGGGGGTAGATGAGGGGTGGGGAGTAAAATAAAATGAAGGGCTCTGCCAGGGGCAGAAACTTAGGCTCACCTCTGATTTCTGTCTGAGCAGTGATGCAGTGTCCTCAGCTGCTGTGGTGCCTGTGTGTGCTGTCTTGCCAGATAAAGCAGGAGCAGCTTCTGAAATTATGACTGAGATTGTAGTGTTCTTGGAGGGGCGCTGATTTTTCTGGTGCCAGCATTTCACATTTACCTGTGGGGCAAGGTTTGCCATGGCACTTTAATCCTGAGAGCTTTCTCTGCATGCAAGGAGGCAGTGCAGTAAAAATTAATGCTTCCCATGACTCAATTCTTACTCTCTCCTTTCAAGCTTAGGGGTAGCCATCACAGCCACATTAGTTTGGGAGGATATAAACAACAGCCATTATCTGTGCAGTCACATTGCGAAAGAGAAACAAGGTTTGTAGGGAGGGGCAACATCTTCTATTGAGCCAAATGACAGTCGGAAAAAAACAGGCAAGATTTTCAACATCCAACCATAGGGACACTGAGTTCAAAAGCTTGCCAACTTTTTCCACACGTTTAAAGTGAAATGAAGACAGTAACAAGTGTTCCATCTCCCTGCAAAACCTGCTTTTCTTGAAAGAAACAAAAAAATAACAATTTGATTATTAGCTAGTTTGAGCAGGAGGGGTTTGGTTGGAGGCTGGACTCACAGTAAACTTTCCAACTCTCCAGCAGAACCCTCCACTGCCTATACACAGATGTGTCAGCACTTGTGCCAGTGCTTTGTGAGGATCCAACACAATTTTCCCTTCTCCAAAGCTTCCCAGCAAGGTGCTGAATGCAGCACTTCATTTGCTGAGCCCCTCACCCTTGAGCAAGCAAGACTCTAGGAGAAGCAGGTTCCTAGAGGGAATGCTGTGGGACAGGGGGAGAGTGGTTCACATTACCCC